TCGAGTTCGTCGATGACGAAACGCACGTAAATTCGTAGCGGTGGCGGCGGCGCCGCCGCCACCGCTACGAATTTACGTGCGTTTCGTCATCGACGAACTCGAGTGGCGCGAAAGGGGGTGGACGAGTGGAAGGCACATTCCCCACCCTTTTGAGGGCGTCGCGAGTCGCGAGGTGTGTCGCGGTGTGTGGGATGCGAGCAGGTAAAGGAGGAGCAGTGGCGGATTTATTGATAAATGCAAGTGGTTTAGAATCCTTTATTGTTATTGAAGAATCGTTTCATGTGTTTGCACTTGCATTATCTCTGCAAAGTTTTGTAATTACACTACACAACTATTATCGCAAAGTATTTATAATTAGTAAATAAAGATAATTTTATAAATGGCATAATCGTTATTTCTTTGCTGCTAGAAATATATAATTAAAAGAATCGTTTTAATTGTAAGCTGTGAAATCGTAATATTGTTTCGTTAGGGCTCTTCAGACTCTAAATCCGTTACTGAGAGGAGAAGACTAGGGGCGCCGGCAAATTCTCCTCTCCTCTTTCACTGTCGTTGCCTTCTTCAACGGCTTCAAGCCGGAGCCCTCATGCAATGCTTTCGACGTAGTTCCGTATGCGGCGTACACTGCTCGCTTCGAGAGAGTCGATAATTCGCCTCTCTCTCCCTCTCCCTCTCCCTCTCCCCCCCCCTCTCTCCCTCTCTCTCTTCTTTCTCTGTCGTACTCCCTTGTCATTTGTCGGATTTGAGGGAGCGTCGTGCGGATGATGTTCTCCGACCAAGAGCATGGAGAATCGACACTCGAAGAGTGTCGAACGGTCCAAGAGGATTAACTCGGTCGTCTCGACCGAGACGGCTATATCGTATTAGTTGAGCAAGTGCTTCAGCGAATACGTCTTACGGATGCATCTGTCTCGTGGAAACATGCACGATCCGTCCCACGTGACCTCCTCATTAGTCGTGACGCGTTTATCCGGTGCGATGAAGCGACCATGATCTATCGATCGCGCTGATATGACGAGTATTACCTTCCTCAACCGTCTTGTCCACGTGAACAATTATTACGCACGTCGACAGGCACGATTAGTGTCTCGTCGTGCGCTTAAATATTCTCTTATTATCATTCTCCGACGATCTGCGTGAATCGCGAATTCGTTGCATCGGCGAACAAATCCTCCCTTTGCAACCCTTTCTCTTCTCTCTCTCTCTCTCTCTCTCTCTCTCTCTCATCCTTCTCTCGCCATTGGCACGTCGGTGGATCGATGACCGGCGATCAACCCGGTGCACACCGCGACACCATCCACCTCCATTTGTACCATCGCGCATCGGCTCGTCGTGCCGCCTGGATGCAGGGGCCTCGACATTTTGACGGCTTCTCTCAGTGCGACCTACTGTGCGCTACCCCATGCTCCCCCTCTCCTCTATATCCACCCTCTGCTCCCTTTCACCCTCCACCAGACACTACTCACCCCCTTGCCGTGATCACCGCGCGTTACACGCGCGCAGATGCACGTGAATTCGGTCGACGCGCCGTCGATGCCCGATGGCGCTTCGATGCGGTCTCCGCCGCTTCCCGGTGATGTTAATTGACCACTCGGGACACCCGCCCCGACTGAAATTGGCATCGATTACATTATCGGCGGACGGTTGAAAACGAGGACGGGAAAATTGCGCCGATATTTGTCGTGAGTGAGCGTTTCGAAGCCGAAACATACGATACAACCGACGATACGTGAATCAAAATATGTAGAAGATGCAGGAGATAAAAAACTAAATTTAATATTATATTAAAGTAAAGAAACGATCAATGCAAGAAGCGCAAACTAGTCGAAGAAAATTAAATATTTCCAATCAATTTGGTTTGTATCATATTCATCATCATTTAGGTAATATATTATGCATGAATATTTAAATACTAAATTATTTTACATACTTGTAATTATCTAACATATTGATATCGTATATAAGACATATACATTGTTTATGTTTCAAACTTTTATATACTTTTATATTTAAGTATAGATGTTAATATTTAGATATTTATTTTATATTTCAGTTATTTTTATTGATTTTTGCGATGCTGGCATTAGGTACTATTAAATTGTCGTTCAATTAATTCATAGTTGTGAGATTATTATTTCAGTTTCTGATTATGTTTCAGATCCAGTAAACTGAATCAACTGAATCACAGATTTGATAATTATACTTATTTATTCACGTATGAATACTAACAATAAGCACCAAGATCTTAGTCGAAAATGGCATTCTTTTGCGTTTAAACACTTTTCGGGTTTCATTTAATATTGTTTCCACACACACACATACAATATTTATCCCCAAGAAATTCAAACTCTATTATGTCAAGAAAGAAAATACACGCTAATCCATGATGTGAATAATAAAACGTCACATGTAAATAAAAGTGCGTAGTGAAATTGTAGGATAATTAACTAACCGCGCATGTTAGTGATACGGTAATTTGCGGTTCGTCCAAAGAAACGAAGAAGAATCCGTTTGAACATTACCCTCGGCTATGAGAAACACGGACAAAAATAATATGTATCGATCTAACGGGTTAACTATCTTTACTATCCCTCGAACGACGCAAAATAAGTATAATCAGTTTTTAAAAAATTAGCTATTTCAACTATTCCTAGGGAATTTATACGGCATTTATTGAAATCCTTTCTGAGAAAAATTTATAATAAAAAATAAAAATGCATATTTAATATTGTACATATTTTAACTTTTTCATCCCTTTCGCATGAAATTGTTTGAAATTTGGAAAAATTGCAAAAGTTTGTATTTGATAAAGTTGTAACAAATGCAATTTTACACTACTTTGACGAACTGTGACATTACAGTAATTTTTATAATGCAAGAAAGAGACGAGATGAGCGGATGTAACTGGCGAAAAATCAGAAGGGTACGCGACAATCGAGCGAAAATTAGAGGGCCAATCGGCGACGCGATGCCTGGCGAGTATGCTGCTCGCAGCAACTGTGGCGACATTCCTCTCGCGCACGAATGCGCGGTAGCAACGCGGGATATATGAAGTATAATCGCTAGCTAGTTCGCTCAGCCTCGGGGGTGTAGGCAGAAGGTAGGTAGATAGGTAGGTAGGTAGGTAGGTAGGTAGGTAGGTAGAACCGGCGGTCGTGTATCGGGCAGGTTCCTGGAGTCGCGTCGCAATCAATACCTCTGGTTTCTCTCTCCGCCGCGCCGTTCCCACCCGCGCCATCTCCCCGCGTCACTCACCCGAGAATATTTCTCTCCGCTCGCCACCCTGTACCTCGAGTTCGACCCGCAAAACTCGCATCCTCCCGCGTCCACTCTTTGCCGCCCCCGCGACGATCGTTCACGCTTGTCGTCACCACCGCCGCTGTTGCCATCGCCATCGAATCGTCGTCGTCGTCGTCGTCGTCGTCGTCGTCGTCGTCGTCATCATTTGTGACCTATAAATCGCACGGATCCGCGACACCGATTTCTTGCGCCTTCAATTAACATCAACTTTATTAAAGGCCTGACATTTCAATCATGTATAACAAGCCAAAAAGATAATCGAAGATTACTTTGCGTTACAATACTATTAATCAGCAGCCGTTGTAAATCGCCGTATATCAAATAACACGTAAGCAATGTATTCCTTTCTGATAGGGATATAATGTCACGTTGCAAGTGATATCGATGAGACCAAGCGATAAATCCACCTGGATCCAGGACGATCATCGCAGGGGTCAGGGGTGAGACGTTAGCGCTTATGCGCGGTATGGCTTCTCGCTTTTCGTCGGTTGATAACACGGATAGACTTATCGCCGGCGATCGATATCTAATCCAACCTAGCTATTTATAAACGGTGGCCCCACACTTTGGGATGTTGTGCACGCGGTGCGAAAGTAACAAGTAACTTTCTAATTTTAGAGATCTAATCGCCGCTTCTCGATAGTCCACACGATAGTCCATACGATACATTCCAGGCATTTTTATCAATGTTTTTCCTTCCCGTTATCTTATTCCCTCGCATCATTCGATATACTTTGTAAGTCACATTAAAAAAAATACTATACAGGTTACAGTACATACCAGGATACTTTCTCTTATGCTCCTTATCCACTTCACGTGCCAATGCAAAATATTTTTCCTTTATATCCTTCGACATGTTTTTCCAAAAAACGCCTAGCCTAAAAATTATAGAACAAAACAAAATCACTTTATTTTCAAATTATTATTTCACATTACAAGTTTTCATTTCTTAAAAGATAAACTGAAAGTAAATTGAAAGGTTGAAAAAAGAATCTTTAAAAATTGCATTTTTACGCGACAGAAACAAATGTATCTTTTAAAAGAGAGACTAACCTGACACTGATATCCTTATTGGATTCCCGAGGATTCTCTGCAGCTAGTTTCCTCCGCCATTCATTGGCGAACAGCATAAAAGCGTTTGCCGGTCTCGGGATCTTGCGTTTAACTCCTGCAGCTGCCGTCGCATCCACAAGTTTGTTGTTATCAATGCATAACAACGTCGGGATACTAGTACTTTTACGTCTCGGCGATCGATTTCCCTGTGTCCGATGCTGTTGCTGAGGAAAAATCTTGTCTACTTCACGACTGCCACACGATTGCTTCGATTCACTGGAAATGCGTTTTATCTTCATATTCTCCTTATCGTCGTCGTCGTCCTCGTCATCGTCGTCGTCGTCTTCATCGTCGTCGTTGTCGTCGTCATCGTTGTCGTTATCGAAATTCTTCTCTTCGAAAGAATGCATAGGAGAGATAATGTCTAGAAAGCTCATGTTATTATTGATCTTATTCTTCAAATGTTCACTGGAAGCAAGCGGTTTTGTCTCTGTCGGTGATACCACGACGATGACCTTTCCACGATCAATGCTGTCGCGAATGTATTCTTTTTCTTCACAAATTTCAATCGGTTCATCTAGACGTATTACACAAAACATATTATTTCAAATCGTTCTTCTTGAAGGATGTAATCTTCCATTAAGCCTTAATAGTATTCGTAAACATGTTATGATAGTATTATAATAGTATATTACAATCAAACCATTATGATTCCATGTTGTTAACCCAGTCATTGTGGCTGGGTCATAATGACCCGAGACATTTTTAAACATCTGTATTTTCTTACATACTTCGTAGATTTTAACCAACCGCCCTGTAGATGGAGCTAAGACTTTCTAAAACAATTGTTGCGAGAATAGACCAAAAAAAATATTCGAGTTATCATTATCTATCTCCGTGTAACATTTTAGTACAATAATGACGCCGAGTTAATAATTGTCCGATTATTAAAAACTACATAATTTCTAGATAAGATATGTTCTTTAAATTTCTCTTTTTTGATTTTTAAATATAAAATTGTACAGCGTTTCTATATATGTACATATACATATATGTACATATATATATATGTATATAGAAAATATATCTTAAATTATTATAGGATATTTCATACGATAATTTACGCTTTGCATTATTCAATACGCGTTTATCCGTTCGCTCCGAGCAATTGTCGCGTCATGAAATGTTTAGGAACCTAACACGATTTTATACGTTTACCTTTTACAGCGAAATTCGAGACACGTTCACGAGGCTCCATAGTGATAAAATTTGTCGATTAGACTCGCCGTCGGGAAACCAACCGTTGTGCCAATTTCGTATATTGTTATCCGCGTCTAAGAATACACTTGAACCTCTTGATAATGGTGAAACGCACGTCGATACGCAAACACAGACTACCGTTGTCGTCGGTTATTGAAAACACGAAACGATGCTCCGATCGTCTTATTGCCGATCTCTCTGTCGCGATCAACGATGCTGAAGGAAATAAAAGACATTCGCTCCAACTAAGCGTCATTTTTCGAAAAAGATGGGCATAGGTTTTTCGCACAATTGCTTTTCGGCATGGATTCTCAAACTTCGAAGAGTGATCTGAATATAAACGCGTTACGCGGTAAATGTACGTGCATCCAACGTGGCATAAACTATTATAAAGTTTTATCGCTGAGATGGAATTGTGCCGATACGGAAATCAAGGAAGCGTAAGCTGCATAATCTTTTTTATAGGATGACGTAAAAGTAGAGTTCTTATTAATTCTTGATAACCTATTATCACTTTCTCTCTCTCTCTCTCTCTCTCTCTCTCATCTCCATATATATTAATAACATTTAAAATATTTTTACAAAATATGATATTTTTTCTTTGTAATATCAAAATGATATTTTGTGAAAAATTCTTCAAATATTATATCAGTCTTTATTGTATTACAGCGGTATTATATTACATGTAACTTTTACAATATTATATTAATCGTATGGTTTATGTAAAAAACGGGAATAAAAAGAGACGAAACATATTGCACCAACGAAATAGTGCAGTTATTTCTTTCAGATACCAACGATGTGCTATACGATACAATCCCGCGCGGCAAAAGAACGAAGGTGCTGAGGCGATTTTCGCCTTAGCAGCTGAAGCGTACGACGTGCTCTCGGATCCACTTAGAAGGGCCGTGTATGATCAATACGGCGAAGAGGGTCTTAAAAATGGTGTGGCGGAACCAGAAAGATTCATGAAACCTTACGTTTATCACAACGAGCCGATGCGAACCTTTAGGTAGAACCATTCAGCTCAATTTATGTATTCTGAAGTTTAATAATGGCATTTCATGCACACACACGCACACACACACACACACATACACAATGAGATATGTATATTTATAGCTTACTTTTTCTTAGAGAAAAATAGATATTTATTTTCCAAAATAAATATTCATTGTAAATATTCGATAAACTTCACACCTAAAATTAAGCTTTCAGTATTCTAAGAGTTTTAATGTTCTCATCGCGAATTTTATCATTAGAGAATTCTTCGCGACTGAAAATCCGTACGACGATCTTCTAAATATTCTAACAGAACCTCAATCTCTACTTGAATTTCCCGAGGGTCAGGGTATAAAACGGAAGGAGGAATCCTTGATTAAAACCCTATTTTTAACTCTCTCGGAAGTAAGAACTGATCTATGTTCATACATTTTTTTTGTTCCGGCTTTCAATTCTATTTATTATATTATGTGAACATAAATACATACTATAGGTATTTTTCTATTTTTTTGTATATTTCTTTAACACAAAATTATTAAAAAATTGCAAATTATATTTGCAGACTGTTTTTTTTCTTTGTATGATTTTATTAACAACATGAAATCTCGATTATCTGATTGAAATTTTGATTTCAAGATTTTGTATAAAATGATAAAAAGCCAGCAAACGAGAATCGATTGAAATGAATTGAAATGGATTCAGATTTTCAGAAATATTGATTCACGAATGTTAAAATGAATGCTTTTCAATTCTGAATGCATTTTTATTCATTTATAGAACTTGCATGGAACATATCTCTATACCTTTCAATCTAAAAATAATATTAGCTTTTTCTATGCATTGTGAATACTGTTCAATTCAAAATTTTGAATAGGAAATGCAGTTTTTCAATTCAATTGCATCTAATTAAAACCAATTAAATAAAAAAAAAAGTATCCGCTATTTAAAATATGCGTGCGGATAGAAAAAAATGTCAATCCATTTTAATCCATTCTCGTTTACTCGTTTGGGAATTAAATTAAACATAAATTATATTCTTTTCGTATGGTTTAACATATAAAAATCTTATATGATAAACCTTATAAACGAAAGATAAAATAATTAGCGTGTAATCAGATAGTTGAAAACGTTTCGTCGTAGATATTTTTTGGCGGAATAAAGAAAATGAAGATCCAAAAATTGGTTTTACTTGACGATAAATCGACGACGTCGTCGATGGAGAAGATCTTGACGATACCCATTAAGCCGGGAATCCCAGCAGGTACCAAAATAGTATTTCCAGAAGAAGGTGATCAAAGTCCTTCAAAGATACCTGGTAAGTATAAGTTCTTCCATTGCCTTCTTGATCTTTTTTGAACTTGTAACCACGCTAAAGTATTACGATATAATAAATAATACGATATGATTGCGATAATAAAACAAATAATAAAACATTTTCTTTGTAACTGTCTCTCTCTCTCTCTCTCTCTCTCTCTCTCTCTCTCTCTCTCTCTCTCTCTCTCTCTCGTAGTTTTGAATTTTATCATATTCTGTTTTTATACTAATCGTAAAAGCAAACGGTTTCCTTAGTATTTAAAAAAAGTTACTATATTCTTCAGAGTTCAAGTTAAAAATTTAACTCTTATATGACAAATTTTATCCCTTCATAAATGACAAAAAATAATAAGACATATTTTCCATATAACGTATTTCTTTTTACAATAAATTAATAAGATAATGATAAATAATAATATAAAGTTATAATGAAATAGATTCGCGTAATTGATGATACAATCAAAGATGAGACGACTGATCAATTTACGACTATCGTCACGTGAAAATGCGGGTTCCGTAGAATAAAGGTTAAAGATTAATTGTAACGCACACAAGATGGGGTGATATCTTCACTAAGTCCAAGACACTGTCAGCGTAGCGGACGTTATCTTCGTCACGGAGGATCGCCCTCACGAAACGTTCCGGCGAGAGGGCTCGGACTTGCACATGACGGTCGATATCTGTCTGAAGGAGGCGCTGACCGGAACAGTGATCACGCTTAACACCGTCGATGACAGAATTCTTCGGATTCCAATAACGTCGATCGTTACGTACGAAAAGCTGTTATAAAATTGCGCCATGTCTCTTCCATTTCCCTCTTTTTCTCTCGATTGCATTATATTACCTTTTATTTTAATTCGTCCTAAATTTCCAAAAGGTTTCAAATAATTTCTCTCCTATAAAAGATTACTCAAAATCGTCACAGATTTCATTAATACTTATTTAATATTATTCAATTTCGCGATTAATTCTTTTTTTTTTTTAATTTACAGAATTAAAGTTAAACAACTTTATGAATGTTATCTAAATTTTCGCTCACCTTTTACATATTACATCTTATCTTAGACCAGATTACACCAAATGTGTGCCGGGTGAAGGAATGCCATTTCCCGCAAATCCGAAGCAAAAGGGTGATCTAATATTGAGGTTCAACATCGAGTTTCCAGTTTATTTGTCGTTGACCAATAAGAACTATATTAAGAAAGCCTTCGAGGTATCTGGTACGAACGTTGAGAATGCCGAGTACGTTCATCGCCTCATATTGGCCAAGAAAATGCGCAGAAATGTCAACGACGACGTTCCATTTCGACGTGGCGTGAAGAAATTGATATGTGAAATGTGATTTTGCAGATATTTGCGCGTTATTTCATATGCGTATTTCACGTGATATTCGTATGTTTTTCGACATCAACTTTTACAAGAAAGTATATAAGAAAGAAAATTACTCGAAAATTATCTCTTCTGTAACTAATTATTTCATTGCAATAAGTATAATTATATAATAGTTGAACCATTATTTTGAGACTTGGATACACAACCTGCATGTGCTATGAGAATATTCGAATGCAAACATAGATGATGTCTACAAAATAAAACACGATTTGAAAATGTAGCGAGCTATTTTAATTGTATGTGCACATTTAATTTATATTATATTAAATCAATTAGCTCGATACTTTTTTTATTCTAAAAATATTGATGCCTGTATTATTAAAAATTAAAAGAGAGGATTTTGTTAATAAAATATCATTTATAGACAATTACGTAGATAATTTGCGGGAATCTTTCCTTCTGATATTATAGATCAAAATAATAACTGATACTAGTATCACTGGGGCCTATTCTTTTTTGAAGAGTTCTAAACTAGTTCTGAATTAATGCAAAACAAACTATATTTGTTATCACTCAAACTTATTGCACCAGTACAGAAGTGAAGTGAGAAAGATTTGGAGTGGAGAAAGAATACCTTAAATACGCAACACGAACGCGTCGATATCGATATATCAGCGGATCTGTCGTGATTTCGAAGATTTCGAAGAGACTGCTCACTTTGGCAATGTAACGGGATGTCTAGCTCCATCTTGCGGGATCTACTGATGATTCAACAAAAACCGTCGGTCGGTAAATTCTCATGAGACAATTCTCTTAGAGAAAATCTGTATGGAGAAAAAAATGTCATACGATATGGATATTGGGGAAAATGGTAAATCCTGGTAAAAAGTGTATGAATAATGAGCTTGATATTTGAAAGGTTCTTGGGGCTAAAAAGTAGCCTCGATCGTGCTATCCGCCGCAGCGACGCTGAGCTATTATCTCGGGCAATCATATGACTCCTCCGCACGTGACTTTATTTACAGTAAGAGGAGTAAGAGACTTAACCCGCGCGAACATGTATGGTGCAGTTCCGCGTGACATGAAAGACGCAGGTTTGCTTCGCGAGACGATGCGATAACTAATTATAGACGGCGGGCCGTGGCTTTATGATGCCGTTGCTCGATAAACTACTACCTGCGAGGAAGAGCAGACCGCGCGAGAGTGCCGAGAGCCTAGTGTCCAGTGCACGAACAACTGGAAATGATAGGTGAGCAAGCGAGATTGCGCTGTTCCATTTCATTTCGGACTTCGGAGCGCATTTTCGCTCTGTATCGCTCGTGCGGTGGATCCCTCCTCCGAAATAGCTCGCCCAGCATCCGTTCGTTGTTACCGCTATGCGTATGCATCTATCATATCGATCTTTTTGTCAATCGCATAAATCGCATTACTATTCTGTATTGGCGCCAGAGATAAAGGCAGAATTTCACGCTTTAGGAAGAAAGCGGAACGAAAGACATTTCTCATAGTATCGCCAGGACGATGAAAGACAAATTGTAATGGCGTTGAATTATCAGGGTTCTTATCGAAAGCTTGGAATTTTATAATAAAGATTGACGCTTAGGCTGTTTCCCTAACCTACTTCATTGCGATTACTTGGCTCTCACCGCCGCGTCTGCGGCTGTTTTACCAACGCAACGTCGAGAAGCGATCGCGCATCGAAGCTTCTCCATTTGAGGGGGAGATATCATAAAAGCTTCGTCAAACTTTTTTTTCTTTTTCATGCAAGTTCAATCAATTTTTATGCTGTATGTACAACATATATTGACTTACTCCAGCTTACATTAAATTATTTAATCATTATTTTTCTTTATTTTAATTTAACATAAGCAACATCTGTACAAATTATTATTTAAATTAATAATTTTACTCAAGACTTAATAAAATAGTAATAAAATAAATAATATAAAAATTATGATCCTGAAAGTGTTTTAATTCAGACTCACTAGAATTTAAAGACATTTTACTTTCTGCATTCACCATGTTGAAAGTTTGCTATATTTTAGATTTTTATTCTAAAATGTCTTTTTATTTTTGTATTTAGCGGTCCTAAAAATTTTCTAACATATTTATTAAATATTAAAAAATATTTTATTCTTTGCGTTCAGTATTTGTAATTTATTGCTTTAATCCAATTTTTATATTTAATAATTACAAAACTTTTAGACGTAAATGAATTAGATGTATTTTTTATTTTTAAAAAGTCAGATATGAAAGAGTCTCTGATTATTACTTCATTTTTATTTTATTGTTATATATATATAAACATCTTGCATGCTAAAAGAGCTTTCAAATGATGCATTCTATCAAATTACAGGAATTCCGCGTTGCAAGTTGGAGCGAATCAAGTGCGAATTTTGTTATTTCGAGAATGCGAATGGCGCGGTAGAAAACTTCTGTTTGATTCGATGACAGTCCAGAAACATCGAAGTAAAAGCGAAACTGTGTGCACTGCGATGAACAACAATGCAGAAGGAAAATGCGAGATGCCTTTTAACATAAGGACTGCTCACGATTTTGAGGTAATCATCGAGTTTTGCATATTAACAAATCAAGCCATCAAATCAAAACATTAAATTGAATTATTATATCTATTAAATGGATTATAAACATAAACTTAATTAAATAATATCTAACTCTGTTATCATCAATATAATAATAATAACAATAATAATAATAATAATAATAATAATAATAATAGTAATAGTAATATATTAAATTTTACAATTTTTGTTGTTGTTATAATATGTATGCTTCTACAGACATCGTATTTATTGTAAAGATAAATGCATTAAATCAAAATGTCAATGTTAGGGATACACCGGATATTCGGAAAATATCCTTATATATACTTAATTTTATATATCCTTATATAATACTTATATAATACTTTGTATTATCTGCATATCCTTAATATCTGGCAATATATATAGCCGGCTGAAATTTTATATACTGTAAGTTGTCGTCATTGATGCAGAATTCTATTTTTTTCTGCTAATCTTGCACAGTATGATTTTGCACAATTACGGTGGTTTATGTCGATAATCAAAATATATTATTACCGGAAAATACTGAAATGTTATTGCCTATGAAAAATTTATTAATATTAATAAATTTTAATTAACGGTCAGTGGTGAAACTATATTGCAAACAACCCTTTTACGGCCGATTAATTATTATCGCAATTTTTCCCGTGCTTTCTTTTTTTCTTTTAGAATTATGGGGAATTTGTATTGGATGTCCGGAAAATATCCAGCCGGATAATTGTCCTACGGATATCCGACCGAATATCGGATATCTAATGTCACACATTTTTTTCTTTGACCGAATACCTGATAATTTTACGATCCGGTGCATCTCTATAGTCAATATGCCTAATAATAGCATTAGAGGTTTTTGAACAAAAAAGCAGCAGCGAAGAACTGCTTTATTTCTAGCTCTAACAAATATTTTTTGCGCTTTATTCGACGTCAAATTGCACTATAACCACTGTAACTGGCTCACCTCGACTCGAGAGCTGCAGTAGTCGCAGTGGCAATATGGACATATGGCTACCATTTATGATGTCATTGATGGAATGGAAGATTGCTAGATGCTGTGCTGCAGCGCACGCTAATAACTATTCTTTAGTACTGCCAGTGTTGGCAGTGTATATCGGAACACAGCCTTAGTCGACACTCACATCCGTCCACAAATATTACATATATTACGTTAACGAAATGTAGTCTAAAATTTTCAGCGAGATAAAACTATCGAAGATGACGTGAGTCTCCTAAGCGAAATGGTGTTTGGCACCGTGGCAATGACGTACAGAGGATCATTATTTAAGGTATGAATCTAAAATAATCACTCTTAAAATTTTATTTGCGGAAATATCTATATACAGATGTATTTTAATATTATTGATATATTTGATTTAAAGGTTCACTCGATGAATTCTCCTCCGTGCATCATGTGCACGAAAATCTTTCCGGCGACAGAACATGGCATCTGCAAGACAAGGTAAACTATTTCTTCACCTTTTCTACTATTGATTAATTTTATTAATCGTTTTATTATACTACAGTGAAAAAATCTTGGATGAAGGATTAGGACGGTCCACGCACATGGATTCTACCTCCGGCAATACTGGTATGCGATCATTTCGTAAGTGTACTGACGATATTGTTACTTTTGTATAGTAAAAATTAATTCTTCTTATTAATAACTTTTTTAACAGATTCTCGATTAAATACACCTTATAAGGAAAATTAATTTTTTATGAAAAAAAGCTCGGGTTTATATTCTAAATTTTCTTTTTTACAACAATGTATTTAATTTTAGATGTGACAATTAAAATAATACCGAGGAATCATTTTGCAACATCATGAATAGTTTCATTTTCGACGTATTTTTGCATGCTGAATATGAATTTATTGACAAAAGTTGGCTATTACGTTAAAGTTTGAGAAAAAATAGCGCGAAAAGAGCTAAAAACGTGATCCCTTTTGACACCATTTTTCTCAAAATTTTGACATGCTAACTTCTGTCAACTAACTTTTGCCAATGTGTTTAGCAGACAAAAATACAGTGGAAAATTCACACTTGTAGCAAAAAAGATTGAATTTTGTTTTACAGTGTAATGAAATCAAATATGACAAATATCTCTTGGAAGAGTTCTCAAAGCGTCAGAATAAATCCTGATTAGGTTTCCATTGCAGAGTCCCGGCCGAGTTCTGGCAATCTGTCAAGTAACGATTCGCACGTGGGTCCGCGAAAGAGTTCGACGTGCTCGAGTATTGGCAGCGGCTGGGACGTAGACATAGCTCCGCCGACGGGCAGTAAGTTCATGCCAACGATTAGAATGATTGATTGTCGGAAGTGCATCGTAGCTCACGCAATGCTGATTTAGGTTCGCAATCGTTGGAGAGTAACGGATCGTCCGGACTCGGCAGCCTCACCAGTTTGCGCAGAAGATGGTTAAGAGCGGTCTCGACTTCTCTCGGTCGAGCGGACTCCGATGATGCTTTCGGGATGCAGCATTGGAACGAGAACGGAAGCGACGGGCGTGACGGACACGCGAAACGACACAAAACCAGGCTGGGTTTGACAATGTTAGTGCGATTGGCTCAGGGCCATGAAAGGTATAAAATTATCTTGTGTTTTTTTTTATTGAAATTAAAAAAAACGTTTATTTGAATATAGGCATAATGATTTTAAATTTATAATTAATGATATAAACTTCGCTGATTATAAAAAGGCAAAACATACTATGCGAAAGCGAAAAACAAAAATTAAAAAATCGAATAATGTTTAAAAATTTTTAAATTAAATAATATTTTATCAGAAATTTATCGCACGTATGCTCGCATCTAGACTTGTGTTTGGCTTCAAGTTAAAATTATAATTTTTTATTAAAACAAATCAACCAAATTGATCTTGTTTATTTATATAACGTAAAATAAGACTTTGTTTTTTTAATGCAGAATATTATAAATAAATAAATACACACACACACAGACCTCCAAAAAATTGATAATTTTATGAAGGTGATTATTTATAATTTGTAGCCAGATAAAAATGCGGCTTTTAGAACACATGGCTTTCTTAGAAGGGATGCTGGATCGCTTACGATATTTTTGCATCGAGACAAGCAACATTAATGGTTTCAACTATAAGAGGATGCAATTGACTGATAGAATGTGCAAGGCGACGTCTCGATTTGTCATTTCGCTGTTGCATGTACTACTTGATGTCGACGCTAACACACGCACACCTCTGTTGTGGCACGACATTCTACTTAATTCCGTGACAGTGAATGAGAAGACAAATACTTTGTATCGCAGTTTGCAACAAATGTGTCAATTGTTCGACGAGCTCGATACAAAATCGACTAATTTGTAAGTGTAGAAGTGTAGATCACGGATTAAGTGAACGTCCCGATATTTATTTCAGTGTTTTTTTCTTTCAGCTTTCTAAGCACTGTGGTAACTGCCGTATTAACGTATCATCTCGGTTGGGTGTACACTGTGTTATCCCCTCATGATCGGCACATGGTGAGTTTAAAAAAAAGTTATAGAACTGCGGAAAATCTTGGAATCCATATTTTGTATGTATCGGATTGAAATGTCTTTATATAATGAGTAGAATAAAGTTGACAAAATCTTTCAAAAATTTTACAGATACATATCTGTACTCTATCTATTGTATATTGTCTTGTAGAAGAGATACTTTGTCATGAAAGTTATTCCGACTTATGTTTTATGAAGTTGTGAAACCTTCTAAAGAGCCAGATCTTGCAATTTCGCCCTTAAAAATATTATAACAAATAAAATAATGTGTTACTTACTTACGGCGCAAATATTATCAAAACTATATTTCGTCTTGCAGAAACAATATTTCACTGTGAGATCTTTTCGGTTTCTTTTTTTATGAAGTTATGAAGGCATATGCAGAACTAGATTTTGCAATTTTTTTCTTAAAACATTATAATAAATATAAAATTATCAACATCTTAACATTGCATTATAATGCAAATTAGTCAATATATAATTGCTAATAATATTTACTTTAGACGAGAATTCATTGAGATCATCCTGATAATTTATCTCTATTTTTAGATCGAGAAATTAGGTAGCTGGTACTCTTGCAATCCATTGTGGGCACAACTTGGCGACCTGTACGGCGCAGTAGGCAACCCTGTGAAAGTAGCGCATACCGTAATTGCAGGCGATCCTCGAAAAAGTGATTTAATTAATTCCGTTTTATCGTTCTTATCTTATTTTATTCGCAGTGGGACGATACGAAAATACCAGGAATACCGTTGCACATCGCAACAAGATGTGCAGATAGCGACGAATATGTTGGAACAGGCTCGCAATAAACGGCCGTATCTGTTTAGTAACAAAAGATCGACGTGCGCGTTCAACGATCGAAACGCCTTGATTCGCAGGTGCGAGTCGCGCGTTTTACCATCGCGTAAGTCGACACAATCGTCCGAAACCGGAACCGACGATATTAACGCACAATGCACTCCACGGTATCCTGCGGAACGACCGAGGCTCTCGCGATCAGTCAGTCCCCTGAAGCGTAGCGGCACCATGAAATCCGGCCTTGACACGCTCATGATGAAATCGACCGAGGCTCTGCTAGACCTTAAGTTTCTAACGAAGGAATTTTTATTACGCGAAAATCAGAAAAGCGAGAAATACGAGTCGATGCAGGAGAATCGATCTAAGGGCAGCGAGAAAAATTTCAAAGTGTCGAACGAAGTAAAAATAATTGTTAGCGAGATTGAATCGCAGGAGGATGTCATGTCAAAGGGATATCAGCCACAAGATTTCCTGCAGTTTCCTTTGCGAGGTTTCGAGAAGAAGTTGGGTGTGCATGATACTGAAGAGAGTCTCGCGACTGGAAAGACTGAGCTGCATCAACAGCTGAATAATGTGGATCCACTGAAAATGTTTTACAGCAGACCCGAATTATCGCTTGATACAAACGGTGGATTTATTGATGAATTTAAGGAATCGCAAGTCTTTTTTACCCTCGGTGGGGAAGACAAATCCGTGAAGTTACCGTTAAGACCGCGTCTTAATAACAATTGTCAGTGTTCTTACACCTTTACGAGACTACCTAGTACATCTGCACAACTTCCGGAGGGCGTATTGAGAAAGATCATCCAGCGAAACTTCCCCGAATCGTCGAAGAGCATGCAGCCTCCTCCAGAAGCAACGTCCAGTATGGGTGCAAGGTCCATAGGCTTTTGTTTGAAGTGCAATGGTCAAGGATACGTTGCCTCGCAAGATTATGACAGCAGCAAACAAGTGTTGGAAACGCCGACGAATGCGACGGAGGTATTACGCACGTGTGGAAGCTCTGAAGGTAGCAGAACCATGAGAATGTCGCGATCCAATAGCCTTGAGGCTTTGATGGAAGCCAACAGTGTCGTGGAGTTGCCAATGCCACAGTCAGTGTATTTTTTTTTGTCGAAATTATAACATCCACTAAAATAAAGTCTTTATTAACTTTTTTGCAATAAAGTTATTTAATAAAATTAAAAATTTACTTAAAACTCTAGATCTTTGAATTTCAGATACAGTTAGCCTGAATTAACTAACAGAATTAAAATCTAAAAAAATGCAGGAGTCTTCTAAATTCTTCTTAATGCCATCACTTCATTAGGAGATCACTTTATATCGAAATAATTTCGTTATTTTGTTATTTTTGTGTTTATTTTTATTTTCTCACTTAGATTTAATAATGACTATCTTTTGTTACAGATCAAGGAAAATTTCACAGATCAAAACTGGATTAATTAGAGAAATGGGCTTTACGAAAACTCTCATGCGAAATAAGACTATAAATGACGAGACTAATATTCTAAGTACAGGTTATACGTGGGGTTTGGTGCTACAAGGTATAACTAAGAAAAAAAAGAGGAGAAAAAGGAAGAAGCTATCAGAAGATGAGAAGGATAATTCTGAAATTGAATCAGAAGAGAAGTGGTGGTCGTGTATGCGTGAAGAAGTCATGGCCAGCGCTCGATTTCCAACGATCGATCAACCGGTTGCAGAAGCACTCTGCGTACTAGCTGACTTGGACACGTGGCACGTCGGAATCTTATCAAATAATGCGCCTTGGCAAAGTCCTCCACTACCGGTCGGAATGTCACGTCTGGTATCGAATATGTTGGAATCTTTTGCCTATGTATGGCGAAAATATCACTCTCCTATCCATGTGAGTTTTTTGTCAATCTTAATTTAATTTAAGATTTTTTCTCTTTTTTTCTCCCTCTTTTTCCTAAACAAATTTTATTCTTTGTAAGTTTTTATAAATAAGTAAATCTGTCAAACTAATGTTTTAGTGCATAGCGATTTTGGAGACTAAACTGAGAGAATTATGGTTAAGAAGCGAAGCCTTGGCGGAAATGATGATGTCTATGGAAGAGTCCGATGCCAATGTGAGCAGCTTGATGAACGCTCTAGATCTCGATGCAGCGGACATACCACTCTTACTTGCGGTCGCAACCACTCATTCTCCGGAAATAACGCAACGATTTGGTCTTACACTAACTTGAACCCGTTCGATTGTTTATAGTTTTCTCCTCTTGGTATTTTTATAGGTATCTTTTGAGTAGTGTATCAATATGTGTTGTACCGAAGTAAAAAAAGCTAATAATTCTTCGCTCCGAATAACACATAATTAAGTACACAATACCTAAATCGTGCGCGCGTAAATCAAATTAGACTAGGTTAGATGTTAAGGTTTATTCTCGCGTTTAATCATTCGTTTCAGCGTTTTTTAATGAATCACATAGTTCTTATACAACTAAATCACAATGGCTGATATCTTACTAATAAAGTACGTACTGTCTATTTGGTTTTTTACATGATTCAGGGCAAGGTAGCAATTGTACAATTTAATTAATAAATTCTAAATGTACTTTTTACATATATTACTATATATTTTTAAATAATTCCTAAAACTAAAGAAATTTTAATTTTTAAGAAATTTTTTAATCAATTATTTATAATTAAGTGATGCGCAATCCGTGACCTGCAAGCTCATAGCCGAAAGTATAAAATTATATTTTCTATTTTATATAAATTATCAAAATAATAATGTTATACGTAACAGTTTAACAATATCATTTAAGAAACATTTAAAAAAATCTTGACTTTATATTTGAAAATGTAACTTATATTCAGGGAATGGAATATAGTAACGCGTGCGCCATTACTTTTACCGTTACTTTTTATAACAATTTGATAATGATATTGCAATTTTTATAACTGTAACGATAACTAACAAAGCGCTAAAGTTGAGAAAGTCACAAGTCACTTTGAAAAGTAACTTGTCACTCCAATGCGCGTTATTAACTGAAAAATACGTTTTCTATTTTAGTTATGTTGTTTCTTTTCATGTGTAAGTGTCCGGACATAGGTCTCTCTACTGTATAACCTGTCCGGTCACCTCGATTTCTTGTTTATTTCCTTTTAATCAATTCCCCTTTCAGCCTCTACATTATTCCTTGTTAACGTTACTTTCATTCATCCTTCCTTCGAGTTCATTAGATTATTTATTATGCTCACGCCTTTCCTGTATATCTCCGATATTTGATAGATTCTGTATATTTGACTTCTTTCTCTTTGTTCATAGCGCGAACTTTGCTCCTTTTTCTCGATAATCATTCTTCCTTTTATCAATCAAATCCTTGAGTTTATTCCCCTTTCCTTCGAAAAAAAGACATGATGCTGATTCAGAGACTGGTTTAGAGATAATTTTGTCCCTTTTTTTCTAACTTTTTTTTTTTGTAATTCTCATAGTGAGAGTGACCGGCCACCTCTAGAGTCATAGCGTCCTTTCGAGACGTTCACCCATATTTCGAAGTTACCTAAGTATGTTCGACTTGCTCCATCCTCTTCCACGCGGATGCATGCGAGACAAAGGATCTCTCTAACATCCTTCCATTATTCCATCCTTCTCATTCCTTTCTTCTCTAAACCAATTCATATGACCAGAGTTGGACGTAACATATAAACATCTTAATAAACTATAAAGGAAAATTGCCGCTACCAGATTTAATATTGAAATATCTCGGAAATAGTTGATCGTCTACACTCTACGTCCAAATAATTATATAGGGGAACACATTTTGTAATTCTATCAAGTTTTATTGAAATCAATGAAGACCACTTCTAAGCCTCTCCTTGTAAAAATTAATAGATTTTTTTACAATTAAGCTTTTTTAAGGTTAGTAACTTAGTTTTATTAGTTAATGTGGCACTTGGCTAATATACATTCATTCTATATTCATTTTTTAAGTTATTTTTTAAATAATCATGTTTAATCATGTTTATTATATATATATATATAAATTAAATTATTATATATATACGAAAATTAATTTTTCAATTTAGAAAGAATATATGTAATATTTACATTTTATTTATGTGTTTGGGGTATGTTTTCTATTTTTTAAAACGATTTTAATTTTGTTTGTCTATATCTAAAATGCGAGTAAGTTAAAAAGAAATAAATTTTAATAAAACGAATTTATCTGTTCTTTATAAATTGAAAAGTCTTAATATCAATATCTCGAAGTAATAATGAATAACATCACTCAACTCGGCCATTTTACTTTTTTGTTACTATACAAAACGTTTAAAAATTACATTTAACTAAATTTTTCTTCTATATTTTTATGATATTCGAAGTGAGATACCTCGGCATCAACACAAACTGTTTCAAGAATCATGGAGATCTGTCCCCGTGAACCGTGAGCTGACATCGCAATAACTTGTTGACATTTGATTTTGATACTAAGCACATTTTTTTATATTCCAATCTCATACGTGTCTTTTTAAAATAAATATTGACTAATTTATCACTGTAGATCTAAACCAACGCGGCAGCAATCGATTATTGAAGCAAAAAATAAACTTCGAGTAAGCTTCGATGATACTCAAAAAGAAAATTATTAAACACAGTTGTATTTAATGTTCTACTTATTTCACGAATTATGTTTGCTTTTTCTTAAATACATTTTAGCTGGGCCATGATGAATGTTGCAACTGTTACTGCTGTTGTTTACCGCAATCCACATGTTATGTGAGTGATGTATTCTAATGTTTACTTATATTTAATTTTATATTTATTTATTTGTTGTTGTTGCATGTATTGATTTGCTTAAAAAAATTAAAGAGTAAACAAAAAATTTTTACAGAAATATGTCCAGCCGGAAGTACCAAAATCTTTCGCACCTATTCGCGTAAGTAGATTAAAAAAAATTTGATAAAGAATATTCTAACAATTATTATAATTTTTTGATTGACGTATATTACAATGAAATTAATTATAAAGTTAATTATAAAAAAATACCTTTTTTTTATTTGTTGTTGTTAAAGTGCTTCTATTGTAATTTCCTTTTTAGTATTATTGGAAATCAAACGTACCGATGGATAAAAATACAATGTATCGTCTCTCTTATTGGGAAGGGCCTGCCACCATTGTCGAACCCATTCGTCCTGAAGATAATTTAACATGCGGTGACGCACCAATGTCTGATGAAACGACGCATAAAGTATGAACATTTTACTTTTAAAATAACTTGTTGACTGGAGTCTGATTATTCTTCCAGATGAGCTATTTTGGCAATTGGTGCGTGAAAACAGATCCTCCAATAACACCCTGTGATAAGCAGTGGCTGGGTAGAGGCCCGATAGAAGACGTCACGACGCACAAACATGATTATTCATGGAAAAGCATAACTCCTCCTGATATCATCAAGGCAGCAAATAATTTATATCCTCCATGTGCTGCTTTATCTGGTAATCCTCTCTCTCTCTCTCTCTCTCTCTCTCTCTCTCTCTCTCTCTCTCTCTCTCTCTCGCGCACACACACACACACATTGCTATATATAAATATCTATTTACTGTAACTTTAATTCTCGTTGCTAGAGAAAAATATGTACTATAATTTTAATTATGAAAAACAAAATGCATAAAGATCAGATCACGAACATGGCATGGCAGATAGAATACTGGTCTATCATATCAGAGGTCCCGAATTCGATCCTGATAGGAAACAAAATATTTACGTTTTTATCTTCTCTCGGAAAAGGCCGGTATTTTCGAGAGTCCTTGCGCACAGAAACATCTCTCAAAAAATTCGGAACCGGTAAATTGTAAATTTAAATTGTAGGTTCCATATTTGCTTGTGGTAATTGAATAAGCAACTTTGTACACCATAAGCGTATGAGAGAGGTGTAACACAGGCCAGAGGCCTAAGGGGAAGAAGAAGAAAATAAATATATCAAATAATTTAATTAATTATTTAAAATTACATAAAATTATTTAATTAATTAATTAACAATATTTTTAGACAGATGATACGACATATCGCTTGAGCTACTATAACTCCTCCAGCTTGCTTCCGGTACAATCTTTTGCGCCCACTAGAAAATATGTTAAATCGGATACACCAATGGAAGAATGCACAACATATAAACTTAGCTACTGGCCAAACGAGATTCCTGTAAAAGTAAATTTTAGAAAACAATTCAAAAACTTATTTTGTTTAATTAATTTTTTAATTTATTATAATTTATTTCAAATATATAATTTTGTATTTTTTAAAATATAATTGTATTTTAAAGAATTTTTTTAGATATTTTATATTTAATATTTTCTAAATTATATTAGAAATTTATTGACTTTAGTAAAAAATAATTTCCTTTTTTATAAATATTTATTACACATATAAATATTAAATATAAATAATTATTTGCTTTTATAGGAGGAGCGACCGTGGAGACAAAAGGAATATCATAGCCCAGTAACGCCGATGGATGGATGCACGACCTACAAATTAAGTTACTGGCCTAACTGTGATGAGAAGCCACCGGAATCTATTATTCCGAATGAAAACGAAAACTTGCTGAACGCCGGCTGCTGCTTTGACGACAACACCACATATCGACTCAGTTATTTCGGAGATGGTGCTGACAAACCAGATCTCGTTCGTCAGCCTGGCAATATGATTTTCTCTCCGTGCCCACTCTCCCACGATACCGTCAATCGGGTTAGTAAATACTGAATTGTACTTTCACGATAAATGTAATTTGAGGATAATGCACTAATTTGGATCGATAGTTATGTTCTCGGGTTTATTAATAGTATTATGTGGCGATTACAAGATAATTTTTTTAAATTGCCTAATAATCGATGCATCGTCTCGCAGATTGATTCGATAGTCCTTATTAATTCTATTAAGTCATATCACGCTATTGTAGCGAATTGAGACAACAGTGATTATTCTCTTAAAGATTGAAAACGTTTGCCGGCATCATCGTTTCAACATCAAATCATGTTCGAGACGAGACTGTTAACTACTATTAATTACAGAAATTTTTATAGTTTAAATTGCATGATCACTTTTTAATTAATAGATTTAAATTTAAATAAAAATTTTTGAACTTTTGAAAACTCGAAATTTCATTAATCTCGTATCGTTGCAGTTGAGTTTTCTAGGCAATTGGTGCTTCAAACCGGAAACGTCCATCACGCCGTGTGACACACAATTGTTGGCCAGAGGACCGATGCAAGATAAGACTACGCAAAAGCACGATTACACTTGGAAGCGCGTGATGCCACCGACAGAGCTTCGACCCGAGAACAATCTTACTTTCTCATCCTTGCCACTGGAATGTAAGTGTTTAACGACACATATGTAAAATATTATAATTGCAATTTATGTATCTGACATTTTATAATCGTATTTATCGGAGAAAGTATAGTACTATTTCTTCATCAAAGACGAAAAAGCGCGCCATTTAAAAAAAGAAAAAAAAATCTTAGACATCGCTCGACTACTTTGTTTGTGGTTTTTTTATTACTAACAT